GCGGGAGCTCGGCAGCGGGGAACGCGCCGCTGCACCGACGCCCTTCTCGGTCGCTGTAACTCGGGGTCTACGTGTCCTCATTCCCAGAGACTGCGCGAGCGAGACCGGACACAGGCAGCCGGGGCAGGGCATGCGGACCCTTGGCTTCCGCAGCTTCCTTTTAGTGCATTCGCCCGCCGCGGAGGACGCCCGGAGCCGGGACCCCAGGGCCTGGTGGAAGGGGCGCCTCCTGGTGAGACAGCCGGGCCCTTGCGGAAGGGCCCGCGGAGTCCGCGAGAAAGCCGTTGGCTGTGTTTCCGCACTTCAAGGGAGACCTTACACGGTGTAGCCTGTGGTTAAAAGGGGCAAATCCTCCTGAAGTACTCCCAGGAGGTGGATCTCTTCATCTAAAAGCAGACACGAAGAGGCGGCCACGGCGTAGGTCTTCAAGGGCAGAACGCGAGGAGAATCCCCAGAGCTTGCTTTCAGCCATGGGTGCCTCTTTCTGCCTGGCTGGCAGCCAGACTAGCCTAATCCTTCCACTGCAGACAAAGCTGCACCATTTAAAGCGATTTTCCCTGTGCAGGATTGTGGAGCAGATCCTGCCAGAAGCTCGTGGAGACATTTTGCACTGTTTTGTATTTATGTATGTTATGATCTGTTTGCTCCGTTCCCTTCTGTGGTAGCAAGGGACACTGGGCGAGCGTCAGTAACAAAGCTGAGCCTTACCAGATGGACCTAGGTACTAGTAAAGGGAAAAATAAGTTCGTAAAACTACTCAAGTGTATGCATCCAAATATGTGAATTGATTAATCCATGAAGAAATACAATTGGTGGTATTCTTATGTCACACTGAATCAGAAAATGTGGTCCAGGAAACCCTGGTCCTTTTTAGACATTCTATGAAGTCAAAACTTTCCGTAATCATAGTAAAGCTTTATTTCCTGTTCTACTCAAAAGGCTACAAAATGTGTGTTGGCATTACCACTCTATATGCAAAGAGAATGAAGCATATTCTTGGGTTTAAAACACTTTCCAGGTTTAATCTAGAATATGGTAAATATCAACAGCGATAACCCACAAAAGCCTCCATGAAAGAGTTCTGAGGACAAAGAGTTTGAGTGCTTTTAATATACGTAACAGTTGTAGTTTCCACTTCTGTGACCATCAGGAAAACCAGTGGTCCTCCTGGCAGGTGCTTTGCATGTACATTCAGTGCTTCAGTAAAAGAAAGAGAATGAGTCCGCAGAGGGCTCAAAAAAAGCAGCCCTCCTGTTAGAAACAGGTAACCCCTTCCCCAGGTATGGAGACCAGAACTGTGTTAATCTGTGTATCACTGGTTCTGTAATTTCTCCTTGGCACAAGTCACTTAGGTACCTCGGATCCTCTGCAGTGAGACTGGCCATAAACAAAAATAATTGTTTTGAAATTAACTAGAAAATGCTTTCTTATAATTTTTCCTTTAAGAGGCCTTAATAGGCAGAATTCTCAGAATGACCCCCAGTGACCCTTGCTGGTTCACAATCCCTTCTTTGGGTCTGGGATGGAACCTGTAAATCTGGTAAAATAACACTCTCCTGGGATTTTATGCTACACTTAGCCCTTTCAAAAGCAGAGAACTTTCACCTGCTGGTAGCAGAAGAGGAAGACGGAGCTACTTGAAGGACAGGAAGGGTTTGGGGTGCTGGAGGAGGCTGTGTGCTGAGATGTGGGCCTTCTGTGGGAACTGAGACCGGCTCCTGGCAGCAGCCACTAAGTCAAGGATCTCAGTGCTGCAGTCTCAAGGACAGAATTCTGCTTAAACCTCCATAAGTTTAAAAGTGGGTTGTTCCTCAGACCCTCCAGAGAGGACCCAGCCTGGCCAACATCTGAATTCAGCCTATGAAACCCCGAGCAGGAAACTCACCCAAACCTGTCTGGACTTCTCAGCTACAGAATAGTAAGTAAACTATTGTCATTTTTAAAGCTGCCTAATTTGTGGTAATTTATTGCACAGTAATAGGAAAGAAGTGAATTGAATATATTTTTGAAGTTGAGGTAATACTCACACAGCATTAAATTCTCCATATTTAACGTACCACAGTATATTCACGATCCTATTGAGCCCTTACACTGCCTAGTGCGAAGACACTTCCACTACCCTAGAAGGAAGCCCACTTCCAGGAAGCAGTCACTTCCTGTTCCCCACTGCAAATACAGAAGCGCTTTCTGTCTCTCGGGATCTACCTACTCTGGAGGGTTCATACAACAAGAAACCTATCATAGCTGGCTTCTCTCACTGCGTGTTTTCAAGGTGCATCCACACTATAGCATGTGCCAGTACTTCTTTCCTTTTATGACTGAATAATATTCCACTATGTGGACAGGCTATATTTTGTTTATCCATTATGAATTGACCGACACTTGGGCTGTTGTCGCTTATAGGCTATGGTGAGTAGTGCTGCTGTGAACATTTGTGTGCAAATGTTTGTACCTGTTTTTAGTTCCTTTGGAATCTTCAAAAAGCTCACAGAAAATACACGTCATGAAAAAACTACACCTAAGTTTCAAAAATTTTTGTGCCAGAATAAATTTATAGTAAATTCCATTTTTCTATGAGCTTTCTGAAGTCTCTTCTTATACCTGGGGAGATGGCTGAGTCACGTGGTATTTCTGTGTTTTAACTATGTGAGGAACTGCTCAACTGCTTACCACAGAGACTATACCATCTTACATTCCCACAAGCAGTGTATAAAGATTCCGGTTTTTCTGCGTCCTTGGTAACACTTGTTTTCCTCTTTTTAAAAAACAGCCATCCTTGGGCCAGCAGATGGCATGATGGTTATATCACTGAACTCCCACATAGTCAACTGCAGTTTGAGTCCCAGACCCAGCAGCTTAAAACATGTGCCATGCACATGTGCTTACCCAAGATCCTGAGAGGAGAATGGAGGAGAAAGGATTGCCGTATGGCCACTACCCATGGAGGGGTGATTTCTCCCTTCTGTCTCTCTTTTTCTTTCTTTCCCTGGCAAGTGCACATGCCCTATAGCAAAAATCTCTCTTAAAAAAATTTTTAAAAAGCCACCCTAGCAGGCGTGAAGTGGTGTCTCATTGTGATTTTGATCTGCATTTCTCTAGTGACTGATGGTGTTGAGCATCTTTCCATATATTTGTGTGCCATTCATATATCTTATTTGGGGAAATATCTATTTAAGTTCTTTGTCCACCTTTTAATTGGATTATTTGTCTTTTTATTGTTGAGTTATAAGAGTTCATTATGTATTTTCGATATAGACCTTTGTCTAATATATGACTTCTGGATACTTTTTCTCTCAATCCAAAGGGGTAAATAGAATACTGAACCTTTCTTCTTCTATCTTTTTTTTTTTTTTTTTGAGATTTTTTTTATAACGGTGTGTGCACTCACCAGAAAGACAGAAAAAGATAGAGAGACAGAAAGCGAGAAGTCACCCCCCAAGAGGGATGGCCATGCAGCAGTGCCTTCTCCTCCATTCTCCTCTCAGGATCTTGGATACACACGTACACGTGCCTGGTGTGAGTTTAAGCCACCGGGTCCAGGACTCAAACTGTAGTCGACTACATGGGAGTCCAGCGACATAGCCATTACACCAACTGCTGGTCTCTAGAATGCTGAACCTTTTTTCTTCTATCCATTTTGTTGTTGTTGTTTGGAGAGGTTTTTGTTATAGGGTGTATATGTTTGCCAGAAAGACAGAGAGACAGAGAGGCAGAAAGTGAGAAATCAGCTCCTAGTTAGGACGGCCATGCTGTAGTCCCTTCTCCTCTAATCTCCTCTCAGTATCTTGGGCACGCACACGCACCTGGTGTGAGTTTAAGCCACCAGGTCTGGTCGACGACATGGGAGTCCAGTGACATAGCCATTACGTCATCTGCTGGTCCCTCTTCTATTCATTTTTAAAAAGCATGTAGGAGATTTGCGTTTTGAGAAAAGCAGGATTGTATAATAAAATTATGTACTTTTCTGGTGCCTTTTGTTGTTGTTGTTATAGGTCACATATACTTGCTGGAAAGACACAGAGGAAGACAGAGGAAAGTAGGAAACCAATCTACAAGAGGGATGGCCACACCACAATCCCCTCTCCTCCGTTCTCCTCTCTGGATTTTAGGCACACACACACATGTGCTCAGCATGTTCTCAAGCCATTGGGCCTGGGACTCAAACCGCACAGCCAACCATGTGGGATCCAGCACATCAAACCTCCACGTCACCTGCTGGTTGTCGGGCTCTTGTTTGTGTCACTAGGAATGGAGAACATGCCATGTAATAAGGTGTTTGGATCTAATTCTTTCTAATGCCTACAATATTCTATTGTGTAAGTGCACTGTACTGTATTCAACCATTTCTTTTAGGGCTATTGTCTTTTTTGTTTTTGGTCATTGGCAACAATGTATGTTTAGGTCATTTCTATTTTATTTTCATGGGACTTATTCCCAGTGGTGAGATTGCTGGGTTGGAGAACATAGGTATTTTTCTTTGTATTTTTAATGTTTATAGATATTGTTTAGTTGTTTTCCATGGAAGCTGTAAAAATTTACACTTTTACTAGTGAAAATATCATTTTTGCGCCACATTCCTATTTATGGGTGTAATTGGACTTTTACATTTTTGCTAATAGGTGTAAATCAGTGGTTCTGAACCTGTAATGACTTTGCCCCACAGGG